AACTCTGGATACTAAATGTAATTTCTAATACATCAAATGTAGTACAAAATATCCAAAATATTAAAATTTTCTAATAGTGCACTCATTCTTTTCATCATGAAATATGCACTATTACTCTGGGAAAATTTTTATCTCTTATTCCCTTAGACTCTTAATGGAAACAAATTAATCTTTCTAATTATGTCTTCATTATATTAGTGAACTATATGAAGAATGATAATCGAGAGGGAAGGGTTTGGAGTGAAGAGCAATGATGGGAATAATTATATTGGACGAAGAAATATGAACATGGCAGACTAAAAAGAAAGCAATAAGGTTTACAGAACAAAAAAGCTTAGTTACACGGAGTGGCAGGGATAAAGGGAGGGTAGTTTGGGTTTAAATTAAATACTCAATCTAATAATTATCCCTGCACTTTGAATTATTTACAAAATTTAGGTTTACAAACACAAATTTTAAGAAATCCAGGTTTTATTTTAGATATGCTCTAGTACGGCTACTTAGGCCATCTGCAACAGTTTATCCCATTTTTTGCACTAAAATGGTGTGAACTTTATCTTCAACAGTTTACACCATTTTTATCACTAAAAAGGAATATTCTTTTTATTTCTTTACTAACTTTTTACCATTTTATATTTAATTATCTAATTATCATATATTTATACAATAGCCCTCATTTAATATGATTTTGACATTTCACTCATTATTTCACAAATACAAACTAAAATACTACTATAAATCTATAATCGATAAAGGTACAAATTATAAATGCACAAACGGATGGGATTACCAATATTACTCTTAAAATTATATAGGATATACAGATAAAAATATTCTTAAGTATATATAAATCTCTTTAGAATAAAGAGTTACGTAGTACTCCACTACTCCGTATATCAAAAGCCTAGAGAACAGCAAGCACATAGATATATTTTGCAAACACACTTTATTGCCAAGGTAAAAAAAAAGATGGTGCATCACCAGATCCTGCGCCATATATGCACTGTCGATCCTAGGATTTTTTTGGTCTGAGTCGAATAGTATAATTAGGCCTTAAGCATCCTAAAAAAATAAACATTAAAAACATTTATACTTAATTACTTACCTAGAATAATGGGATTATATTCGGGAAAGGAATGAATTAACGTCTTCGTCTCTTCTAGATCAGAGAACTCTTCAAAGCTTGAAGTTGGAATTTGGGAAGTTGCAAATTCAAATTGGGCCTACTAGTTATGGGTATATATATAAAGGAAAATCATATATTTTTGGGCGCTAATTGTTTTCCCAAAATTGTGGGCCTAAGGCAATTGCCTCTTTGCCTAACATGTAGGTTCGGTCGTGCATATATGGCGTAAACAAAAGCCCCTTCCCCCATTTTGGTGAAATGGTGAAACATTTGGTGCAACTGTTGGAGCAAAAAAAATGACAAATTCCCCATTTTGGAGAAAGATTTAGTGTTTGTTGGAGATGGTCTTAAAGTTATACGGAGTAAATTTTTTTTCTTTTCTTTTAGGTCGTAACTAATTAATATCAAATGTATTTAAAGAACAATTATTATTGCATTATAAAGTAAACAACACATATTCTAAGCATACAAAATATTTCTAGGCTTATACTACGTACTACGTATAATATTTCTCATCCTCATAACATAACATAACAGGAACGGGGAGAGAAATTATACTAGTCTGACAATATTAAAGTATAACCTGAATAAAATGAGAGCGGGAGCGTACTGTACATATATATAGATTCTTCTAAAATTTTATTGTTATGATAACCTCCATGTAGTACTTTTCTTCTTGTCGCTCTCTCAGTAATGGCCTTGTTTGGCAATCAGCTATTGGCAGTTAGCTATTAGCTGGTTATGACAGCTGGTTGACCATAGCTGGTTGTGTCAACAATTTTAGTTGGCGGATTATGTTAGCCTTTTGTCTACAAATGTTTGATAAATTAGTTGTTTCAGAATAGTTGTTTGCATGTAAAAAGACATATAAGGACATAAGTATTTTATTTATTTTTAGCTATGGCATATTAAAATAATATTACCAACATTTACTTAAAGTACGTATAAATCATTTTACTTCAGTAATTTATGTCTAGTAGTCCTCCCCACAATTTAGCATGTTTTTACTTGGACTGTAATTTGCTGGTCTCATCTGGTCTGGTCTGATTTCTTTATATTTTTATAACTACCCAAGTTTGGTCTGATCTGGTATTTAATTAAAAAAAACAATTAAAATTAATAAAAAAATGCACACAGTTTTGTAAAAAAAAAGTATGCGCATTATCGAGTCTCCGTATTAAAAACGAATGTAGAGTAAATCAGGATTTCATCGGTTTGTTTCTCCTACTCTGTTTTCTTCTTTTGCTTCTTCCTTGTTTATCATTTGATTTCCGATGGATCGAAAACTCATAAGCAAATCTGGATTTCATCAGTCACTTGGGATCTGGTGTAGCAGCCCATTTTTTTCTATGGGAGTCTCTTCTTCATTTTTCCAATTTTTCATTTGTTTCATTAAATTGGGTGTAACACAAATAAAGGATTCGAGAGCTTTGTTGAAAATTTGTACCAGGGAGTCAGGGACGCTGTTAAGAGGAAACGACGACAATGGACATTCACCTCAGAAGGGTATGGAGGGGTTGTCAAGGACCAGCCGAATCTAAACGCTGCCCCCTCCAGCGTTTTGGTTTTCAGCTTTTTGAGTCCCAACAGCCAAGCTAAGCATCCGATTACCATGAGCTGTGCTGGCTACTATTCATTTGTTTCGGTGTCCATTATATTAATTTAGCATGTCTTCCTTGATTTAACTATTCCTTCAAAACAATGTGGCTCCTGGCTTGTTTGAGATGTCAATTATCTTGTATGAATAGACATTTATTTGGTTGCTCATCCCTAATCAAATGAAAATTTTTATTTTATTTTTTAATTGGAGCTACCCGTATTGCCTTATCAATTTAGTACAAACTTTTCTTCCAAAAATAAAAATTAGTACAAACTTTATCTATTATTTAGGACACATTATTGTTTCCCATTTGATTTAAATTGCTTAGAAACTTCTTTCAAAGAAGATGCATGTCATGAAAAGTATTAAACGATCTAATAGGAGAAGATAGATGTTTAATTTGATAGGGTAATAATATCAAGAAAATTATTTGTATGTATCTTAACTATTAGATCACATTTTGGGGTGTTACGTCTTTAATCCTACATTCGTACTCCTACGCTTTCATCTTTAATATAATCATATTATAATTGTCTTTATATAGTTATTATACTATATAATTATTTATATTCTCTAAGGGCATCTCCATCCATAGGATAATTAGAGGATTAAGTTGGTGATGTGGGGGATTAATTTTGGAATCATGATTGGGTGACCAAAATTATTTGGTGAGATTATTTGATAAAGTAATCCGGGATTGAAATATGAATCCTGATCATTTCAAGATTATTGTGAAGCTAGTACTCCGTATTAATTAGTCAGTGCAGAACCACAAAATATCTGATTATTTGGAGATGATGAATGATGTAATTTTAAAGGTTTGAGATTATTTTGTAAAAATCTACAGGTCATTAAATAATCGGATTATTATAGTAGCATGAATGTGGATGCTCTAATCCTACATTCCTACTCCTATACTTCCATATTTAATACCCATGTCTCTTATAACTTTGTCAACTCTCCTTTTTTGGATGTCTTGTTAACTTTGTCAGTTTTCCTTTTTGGCAAAGAATTTGTGATTCCTGTTAATTCTCTCTCCTCTGCACAAACCTCAACCACACAGTTTTTACTTTATTAATCCTCGTGCCGGTCACACATGGCAAAGTTATTAAGGAAGCGGGGAGTATATTCATATTCAGTATATATTATATACGTATCATATTATATAATTAATTATAATCTCTTGTTGAGGTTTATTCCTCTAAGTCTAAAGGCCCAACACACTCATTTGGATATCGTTGGAATGATCTGATTAAGATACACGTATGGTACAAGTGTAGAAGCAACAAATCACTGCAAGTAATCCAATCCTGTTCCAGAAAATAGTCTGATTACATGTAGACTGGCGAACGGGAATATTCAGGCAGCCTAGAGAGAAGTATAATGTTAAGAGTATCAAATTGCTAATCATTTACAATGAAATAAGTGATGATATTTATACTATGAAGTAGTAGTTGGAGAGGATGACATGGCCGATCATGAGTGGATGCTCTCTCAACCATAAAATCCTCCATATCCCTTGCACTAAATGCGCTTCCCGTCAATTATGAGTATTCCCGCCAACTATCTTGAATGTTCCGCCATGGCCCGCTTTCAGCAATGGGAAGAAATGGCTCAAGTGGTATAATTGGACCATCCGGTCATACCCGTTCGGCATAGGCCGTGCAGCTCTTCCTGTGCTGGTTTATCTGTTTGACGGACGGTGTAAAAGTTGGGCTCCTTAGGAATATTGGGCCTGTACTTGGGCGGATAGGCTGTGCCCTAATATCCCAACCCATACTAAACACACTTGATCATACTACGTATTAGTTACATTTTCAATTGTAATTTATAAATGTGTTACTACTCTAAATCAATGTAGTGTTTGTAATGAATATACATTTGTTTTTTAAATGTGTGAATTTCAGTTCAAAAAAACAAGGCCGGACCAACCCACGACCGGCCGGGTAGACCGGACCGGGACCGGGACCGCGAACCATATTAGTCTGGGTCGATTCCGGTCTTAGATATGGGAAACCGAGACCAGACCGAGTCCACCCCTAAGACACACTAAAAGGTGATAATTATAGGGAAGTAGGGAACAGTCAGATTAGTTCGAAACTGGGGCATCTCGTTAATGGAAAAGTTTATGTTCTTTATTATTTGATCAAACGTTCTGACATTAAAAAATTGCAAGCCCATACCCATTTGTTTCTTTGTTACTTGGTATTTCATATTTTATAGGCTTCACCAGTTCACCTCTCCTGATATCCTTCCTCATTTTTCATTGTTCTATTCAGGTCGGTGTTGCAGCTACATTTCAAATTAATCCAGCAATTTACTTTGGAGTGGAGTCATCATCTAGTGATTGAAATCGTGAGGAACAGTTCTTCATATTTGGAACACTTGTGTAAGATATGTTCACACATAAGTAGGGTGTCCCCAATGTTTGGAAAACTATCAAGGCTGTTGGGTTAAGGCTAAATCCTCCGAGGATAAGTGCCAAAACTACCAAGCCAGAATATCTACCAAGTGTTTGGTTAGATGCTTCAATGAAAAATGCTATAAATAGTGTTTCCTTTTCCCGTATTTCTTCCTGAGCAACCTTCTCTGTTTCCTTTGCTATAGCAGAAACTTCCTCACAAGGATTAGGTAAGATGTTAGCTCCTTCGATATTATTGGGTTCTGGTACCCCATCATCCCTTACAATATCATTAGCCTTGTTCTCCCCCAGCTCAGTGTCTACTGTCTACCAGAGTTAAAATCTCCCAAATTGAATCTACGGTGTAGTAACTATATGATCCTCCCCAATTGCTTTTTTTCTTACTATATAGTGAAAACGGTAATTAGGGAAGGTCTCATAGATGATGAATTGTCTTCTGTTCCGCCTAGAGGGAAGCTTGATATCGACAAACAAAGCGTGAGGCTTAGAAACAACAACTCCCACCAATATTCTAGCATAATCCGATCTCATCTTGTCAGTTGTCACTACTCACTAGTAATACCGTGAGTGAATATAGGCAAGCCAACTCTTGAAGGGATCTTCCTAATATCTCCTCCTTCCAACAATCCATAGGTAGTTGAGGTAGTATAGTCCACATGGGTACTCTCAAGAACTCTTCCAACAATCCATAGGTAGTTGAGGTAGTATAGTCCACATGGGTACTCTCAAGAACTCCTCATCATCATAAATGAACAGTGCCTGCTTTTTTTTAACATTAGTGCTCTCCCCGTAACAACATTAGGCCCCTCCATAAGAACTTTTGCTCAATCCTCTTCATTTTTTATCTGAAAGACAACCAAACCTGGTTCATGTGTTACCAATTTACATCTAATTCCCCAGGTTTCCATGAGAAGATGAATAGCCCCCATACTCGAGAAAGTGCCTGTAAAGCATCCCACTAGCCAGTATCCCCCACCCCGTGTTGAGATGCGATCACATTCCGTGCTGTCTGAAAGGTTGACAAAATCTTCCTCCGTTGATATGTATCTCAGCCAAAGACCTCTGTGTCCTCACGTACCTCTTTCTCAGACACCTTCTGTGCACTGACCTCTTTATGTTCATTTCTTCTACCCTCTGTTTTCTGGTTCACTGCTTCCTCCTCCCTACTCGTCTCTTCAACCTCTTCGAGAAGTGAGAACTGTGTTGATGTCAACATCAACCATCATTTTACCATTATCTTACTATTCATCATAACCTGGGGCTGGGGCTGATTTGGATCAATTACATATTTGTCGGTGAAGGTACCAGCTTTCTCGGATGAAGCTGTCTTCTTATTCTTCTCCATCCTGAGAGGGAAGAACACAAACGCCTCAAAGTGGGGAATATACTCTAAGCAAGCTACGACATAGGATCTCTAAGGGATTACATAGGATCTCAAATAAGCAAGAAAATGGGTGTTAATTTTCCAAGTTAGAAAGCTGCATGTAGTATTTGGTTGAACATAAAAAAATTACGTGTGAATAGGAAGTAAGTCATAAGCTAATAAGCATATTGATCTTGTAATAAAATGCAAATTTAAGCTATGTGCACCTTCATGCAAATATGCCACATTGCTATATCAATTGAGATATTGGCCTCCAGCAATTTGGGAAAGATAAGTGAAATTTAAAGCATCAAATATCAGCAGCCAACAACCAATAATAGACAAAATCGCCAAATAATCAACACAAGTCTGAAGTGGCAAAAAAAATCCTAAATATTTTAGGACTAAAACTAAGTGAAAATATGCCTGCCATATAACCTTGGCATATATAAATAGAACCAAGATCGTTAATTTCACTTTACAATCATATCATACTCTTAGAAACTGTAAACAACATTCCAACTCAACTATATAATCTTCACCGAAATCGAAGAATTTAGAAAAGCAAAAAAAATAAATATGTCCCAAACTTATAACACTGCTAAGTGAGATGAGGAAAATCAATGATTGAAACAATATTTCAATAATCATCATACAATAAGATGGGGAAAATCATGTTGGATAGACCAAATAAAGTAATGCATTCCTATAGTAATTTTTTAAAAGTTACTTTATCTACAAATAAAGTAAAACATTTTTATCAAACTTGGGGCTGCATCCGAGCACGACATTGCCCCATTAGCTGTGCCAGCATTTAGTAAAGATGCAGGAGGATAAATGAGGACGGGTCAATAAAAAGATTTTTTTCAGATAATTTCCTGCAGAATTTTTCACATGCATTAGAAAAGATCTAAATTTATGGAGGGTTCATACCTATGCTTGTGGTAGTGTTTATGTCCATATATATGAAAAGTGTCAATATATTGCTGTACATATACGAAATAATATTGCACAAAATCAAGCAAAAACACTGTTTAATAAAGCTTTGTTAAAACAATGGTAGTTTTTTTGTAAAAGAAAGGCCCTTGGACCCTTAAAGTGGTTGACAAGTTGTAGCAGGCTGCGTTTCAAAAGACCATCCGGTAATGAATTTGTTTTCTCCCTCCTACCCTTTAGTTGGAGTAGTAGCGTGGAATTTTGTAGCAGGAAATAGATGTTATATCACAGCGACTTATGGATCAAGTTTCCAAAAAAACTATTAGCAACATATGAAGCACTTCACATGTTGCTAACAAACCAGCCTTTATTCATCTTATTGAAAGTGATTTATTCATCTTATTGAAAGTAAATCTGCCGTCGCTTGTGGAAAGAAGTAAGAAGGAAGACTTGGCTTTTATTAAAGAAAGGGTTATCAAGAGGCTTAATAGTTGGAATCATAAGTTTCTTTCAAGAGCAGGACGTGAGGTCCTTCTAAAAGCCGTGGTACAGTCTATGCCCAGCTATGTAGCACGGAAACTCTTGGGAAAGAGTGTGTTTCCCGTTTCGGAAACTCTCGGAAACTCTTTGGAAACTCTCCAAATAAGCCTTTTTTGAGCAAAAGTTGACGTTTTCCGTTTCCCGTTTCCTCATGATTTTTGCGTTTCCGTGCAACATAGATGCCCACCTATGCTATGCAGGTATTCTTATTTCCTCAAGAGCATTATGCGGAGCTGGAAAAGTTAATGAATAAATTTTGGTGGACTGGCTCATCCGGGCGTGGTATAAAGTGGAAGGAGTGGGCGGGAATGAATTCACCAAAGTCAAAGGGAGGTATGGGTTTCCGAAAGCTTAAGGAGTTCAATCTGGCAATGATAGGGAAACAAGTGTGGAATTTTATGCAAAATCCAAACAGCTTAGCAGCTTCCATTTTTCGTGCTAGATATTTCTCCAAAAATTCTTTTTTAGAGGCTAAAGTTGGCCACAACCCTTCTTTTATTTGGAGAAGTCTTTGGGAGGCTAAAGAGATGGCTAAAAAGGGATTGCGTTGGAGGGTGGGTGATAGGAGTTTGATTAAGGTTTGGAAAGATCCATGGCTACCGAAATTAGAAAATCCGAGAGTGGAGTCAGAAGTGGTGCACGGACGGGAAGACGTCATAGTTTGGTTTATTATGTTTGGAGTCTCCTGGCTGGGACATAGATATTATTTCTGAATTTTTTAATCATAGAGACAGTGATGATTCTTAGAATTCCGGTGAGCTTGAGATAAATTCCAGATAGTTTTATTTGGCCTTGGGAAGAGCAAGGGCGTTATACGGTTAAGAGTGCTTATCATTTTAAGACTTTCAGCGAAGCGGTGGTACAGAACTTTGCTTGGACAAACATGTGGAGATTACATTTACCTCCAAAAGTGAAAGCCTTTTTTGGCAGCTGTGTTCTGGTTGCCTTCCGACAGCGGATAAACTGAGAATGAAAAGAGTTAATTGTTCACCAATTTGTGTTATGTGTGCAGCAGAAAACAAAAGTGATGAACACCTCTTTATGGAGTGTTCAGTGACTTTTATAGTGAACTTTATATTGGAACTTACAAGTTGCAGGGCAGTCTTTTGTGGTCTGGACAGATGGACTTTTAGATGCAGGTATGAGAATTTTTGCAGCAGCTTTGTCATGTATCTCTCGAGTATTTGGAGAAGCAGAAATGCAGCTGTTGCAAACTCCTCTCTGGAAGCTTGGCGACGAGCCCAGGTGGGGAGTTCAACGGCTAAACAGGTAGCTCCAGTTGCCTCGTTTTGGGTCAGACATGAGGCAGGTTGAAATAAGGTCAATGTTGAAGAAGCTGTCCATCGCGGGTCTGGTGCTATTGGACTTGGATGGGTTGCCAGAGATAACGAAGGATTGTTTCTAGCCGGGGGAGCTATTCACAAGCCCGGAGAAAATCTCCCTAAGGAGGCTGAAGCACTTTCAATAAGAGTGTTGGATGGGATCACATTGATGTTGAATAAGATTCTCTTCAACTAGCTAGCAACTAGCTAGGGCAGCTATTTCTATGTCTGATGGCTGGTTTTAATTTGATAATCCACCAAGTTATATTTGTTGTATTTGAACAATGATTTGATTAATAATAGTTGATTCCGTTTTTATAAAAAAAACCATAAAGTAAATAACCTATTCTAAACCATATTCCCAAGTCAACTATTTCTAATCATAAATGAAAAAAAATATTAAATCAGAATTAGAAATCTATCATAGAGTAACCATTTTAAGAACATTAGTTGAACATAAATCTGATCACAAAAAAATAATCAAGAGTTATGCAATTAAGAACTTTGATTGAAAAAATATCCAAGATTCCAAGGACATTCTCGTTCTTAGAAATTCTAAAATGAAGCTCAGAGTTACAAATTCTCGTTGAGTTACAAGAGATTGGACTGATTCCTTGCTGAGTATTCAATGAGAATGGAGGAGTACTTTGCAAACAAATTCTTTATTTTCTAAAGCATAGCAGCATTCAAGTCTCTCTAGGGAATCAATTTTTCCAAAACGTAACACATAGTAAAACTCAAGTGTTTCTGGAAGATGGATAGGGATAACTCTAGTTCCATTTTTGTTGCATTTTATGCCCACCCAATAACTTCGAATCGGGAGGATGAATTCCAGGTAAGCTTCGTGACATGTGGATCTGAACAAGCAAACTCTAGTAGAGCATTTCTATAAGATTCATATTACGTTTGATTTGGTTCTTTTATTCTAAATTGCTACCTGTAAAGTATCTCAATTACTTAAGTAAAAAATTCACTATTAAGAAGAAGATTAATAAAATATAATGGGGTTTTGAACTGGAACAAAGTAGTGCCTGGTTCTTTCTATTGGCACGCTTCTAAGAAGAGTTCCACTGTCTGACCTGATCATTTCGGTTCAGGGCAAGGTCACAGATGCAAAGGGGATAACCATGTCAGTCCCTTTTGCTTCTTCTAATTGGTTAAAATGACGAAAACTGCATTGATGTCGACGAATACCGGCAGGGAACAATAGTTTTAAACGTTCTCATAATGAATAGTCAGGATCACTAGCAGTCAAATATCAGCAGCCAACAACCAATAATAGACAAAAATCGCCAAATAATCAACACAAGTCTGAAGTGGCAAAAAAATCCTAAATATTTTAGGATTAAAACTAAGTGAAAATGTGCCTGCCACACTACCTTGGCATATATATATAGAACCAAGATCGTTAATTTCACTTCACAATCATATCATACTCTTAGAAACTGTAAACAACATTTCAACCCAACTATATAATCTTCACCGAAATTGGAGAATTTAGAAAAGCAAAAAAAAATACATGTCCCAAATTTATAACGCTGCTAAGTAAGATGAGGAAAATCAAAGATTGAAACAATATTTCAATAATCATCGTACAGTAAGATGGGGATAATCATGTTGGAAGGACCAAATAAAGTAATGCATTCCCATGGTATTTTTTTAAAAAAGTTATTTTATCTACAAATAAAGCAAAACATTTTTATCAAACTTGGGGCTGAATCCGAGCAAGACATTGCCCCATTAGCTACACCGGCATTTAGTAAAGATGCAGGGTGGTAAATAAGACAGGTCAATAAAAAGATTTTTTCTGCAGAACTTTCCACATGCATGAGAAAAGATCTAAATTTATGGAGGGTTCATACCTATGCTTGTGGTAGTGTTTATGTGCATATATACAAAAAGTGTCCATATATTGTTGTACATATACGAAATACTATTGCACAACACAAGCAAAAAAAGCTGTTTGATAAAGCTTTGTTAAATCAATGATAGTTTTTTTTGTAAAAAAAAAAGGCCCTTGGACCCTTAATCTAGTTGTAAAAAATCATGTTCACTACATTGCAAATGTATCCATGACCATAGTCACAAAATTTTCAAAAATAGGTATAACATGTCACATTTTTTTCTGCCATATGGATTTATTCATATATAACTCACTATTTCTATTTTATTATTAACATATAAAAAATTGTTGTAGGCACATGGTGGGTTTTCCTTAATAAAGTTTAAAAAGTATACATCTAGCTCTTGAAGTTTTATAAAAAGAATAATAGAAAAAAAATAGTGTTTCACGTACGTGTTTTTAAACAAACACCAAGATGCATATATCTGGCTCTTGAAATGCAAATACTGATGCTGCAACCTTCACTAAATATTAGAGTAGCTAGTTCCTTGTATTTCATTCATATATTTCTATTTTATAAAATTTAATGTTTCCTGTGCCATTAACATGGCAGCATGGGGAAATAAGGTTAATGGAGAAATCCTCTTTAGGGATTGAAGTGGTAGACAATTTGTAGCAGGCTGCATTTCAATAGTCCACCCGGTAATGAAGTTGTTTTCTCCCTCCTACCCTTTAGTTGGAGTAGTAGCGTGGAATTTTGTAGCAGGAAATAGATGTTATATCACAACGACTTATGGATCAAGTTTCCAAATAAAAATATTAGCAACATATGAAGCACTTCACATGTTGCTAATAAACAAGCCTTTATTCATCTTATTGAAAGTGATTGTCTTTCTACTGCTTGTTCAGTCTCCAGGTAATAAACCATAAAGTAAATCTGCCATCGCTTGTGGGAAGGAGTAAGAAGGAAGTCTTGGCCTTTATTAAAGAAAGGCTTAATAGTTGGAATCATAAGTTTCTTTCAAGAGCTGGACGTGAGGTCCTTCTAAAAGCCGTGGTGCTGTCTATGCCCAGCTATGCTATGCAGGTATTCTTATTTCCTCAAGAGCTTTATGCGGAGCTGGAAAGGTAAATGTATAAATTTTGGTGGACTGGCTCATCCGGGCGTGGTATAAAGTGGAAAGAGTGGGCGGGAATGTCTTCACCAAAGTCAAAGGGAGGTATGGGTTTCCGAAAGCTTAAGGAGTTCAATCTGGCAATGATAGGGAAACAAGTGTGGGATTTTATGCAAAATCGAAACAGCTTAGAAGCTTCCGTTTTTCGCGCTAGATATTTCTCCAAAAATTCTTTTTTGGAGGCTAAAGTTGGCCACAACCCTTCTTTTATTTGGAGAAGTCTTTGGGAGGCTAAAGGGATGGTTAAAAAGGGATTTCGTTGGAGGGTGGGTGATGGGAGTTTGATTAAGGGTTAGAAAGATCCATGGCTACCGAATTTAGAAAATATGAGAGTGGAGTCAGAGGTGGTGCACGGACTGGAAGACATCACAGTAAAGGGTTTATTAAGTTTCGAGTCTCCCGAAGGATTGTTTCTAGCCGGGGGAGCTATTCACAAGCCCGGAGAAAATCTCCCTAAGGAGGCTGAAGCACTTTCTATAAGAGTGTTGGATGGGATCACATTGATGTTGAACTAGCTAGCAACTAGCTAGGCGCTATTTCTATGTCTGATGGCTGGTTTTAATTTGATAATCCACCAAGTTATATTTGTTGTATTTGAACAATGATTTTATTAATAATAGTTGATTCCGCTTTTATAAAAAAAACCGCAAAGTAAATAACCTATTCTAAACCATATTCCCAAGTCAACTATTTCTAATCATAAATGAAAAAAAAATATTAAATCGGAATTAGAAATCTATCTTAGAGTAACCATTTTTAAGAACATTAGTTGAACATAAATCCGATCACAAAAAATAATCAAGAGTTACGCAATTAAGAACTTTGATTGAAAAAATATCCAAGGACATTCTCCTTCTTAGAAATTCTAAAATGAAGCTCAGAGTTACAAATTCTCGTTGAGTTACAAGAGATTGGACTGATTCCTTGTTGAGTATTCAATGAGAATGGAGGAGTACTATGCAAACAAATTCTTTATTTTCTCTAAGGAATCAATTTTTCCAAAACATAATAACACATAGTAAAACTCAAGTGTTTCTGGAATGTAGACTTCCATTACTGATTTGAAAGAGCACGAAAATGACGGAACCGCTGAGTTATTGAAAAAATATCCAAGGACATTCTCGTTCTTAGAAATTCTAAAATGAAGCTCAGAGTTGCAAATTCTCGTCGAGTTACAAAAGGTTGGACTGATTCCTTGTTGAGTATTCAATGAGAATGGAGGAGTACTATGCAAACAAATTCTTTATTTTCTAAAGCATAGTAGGACATAGCAGCATTCAAGTCTCTCTAGGGAATCTATTTTTCCAAAACATAATACTCCGTAAGACATAGTAAAACTCAAGTGTTTGTGGAAGATGGACAGCGATAACTCTAGTTCCATATTTGTTACATTTTATGCCTGCCCAATAACTTCGAATCGGGTGGATAAATTCTAGGTAAGCTTCGTGACGTGGATCTGAAGAAGCAACTCTAGCAGAGCATTTCTATGAGATTTTTCGTTTGATTTGGTTCTTTTATTCTAAATTGCTACCTGTAAAGTATCTTATTTACTTCTGTAAAAAAAATCACTATTAAGAAGAAGATTAAGAAAATATAATGGGGTTTTGAACTGGAACAAAGTAGTGTCTGGTTCTTTCTATTGGTACGCTTCTAAGAAGAGTTCCATTGTCCCAATGACCTGATCATTTTGGTTCACAGCAAGGTCACAGATGCAACAAAGGAGATAACCATGTCAGTCCCTTTTGCTTCTTCTAATTGGTTAAACGTGCTCATAATGAATACTCGGGATCACCAACGGTCAAATTTAGCAATTATAAAATTAGATAAATATCTGAAACAAAGTAATTTTGGTGGTAAGTTTATACAAGAGCAGTAAGTGATTTAAACTAGCTAGCTATTATGATGAGGAGAAAGTCCAATCCAGGCAGAATGAAGTAAGGCACTGGTATTGTAATAGTTTGTACTTGAGAAAGTATGGGGAAAGTTGCGCCACTCCTTGGTTCCCAGGCAATAAAACAGTCCTCTATTGTCGTAGAATCTAGGAAAGTAGATCTTGTTACCAGTTCCTCTAGGAACTGCTTTTTGGGAGAAGGATGCGGATTGAGAAACGTACAAGGCTTTTCCTTGGAGATCATCCACCTTTTGCCACACTTGAGTGTGTGGATCAAGCTTGAGAACACAAACCTCGCTTCCTCCTTGTAGAGTTGCCACGCACATGATGTCGCCATCGCTTTCGAGGAGGAATTGATCTTTGAATGTCTCAAAGAGTTCATCTGCTGGCTTGCCAATAACTTCCCAAAAAACCTCAGTCAGTCCCTTTTTGGGAGCTCGAAACCAGAGGCATCCCAAATTCCCAGATTCACCCAAAACATAAAAGCTCCCATCACAGACAATGGGGGGGCATATGGATGCCACGAAGTCATCTGGGTTGCTAGTGTTGGCAAACACGGACCAAGAATCACATCCCACCATTGTTTCTCCAATAAAGGCCACTTGTTCTGGGACATAACTGACAAAGCCAACAATTCTGCACGAGGAAGAAGTGGGCGAACCAGAGAAACACATGGATTCGAATGAGATGGGCATGTCACGTACAGGAGGAAGGTCAATTCTATCCATGGTGTAGGGGTTAAAAAGGAAGTATGTCTTGGGGCCCTTGCGAAGAAGCAGCCAACCGCAGCTGGCATAATAACATTCAACCTCGCCCGGGTAATCCCCCAATAGTTCAGGGATGCGTACTGAATATGTGGCACCTCTGCGAGTCGGGTCATGGAAATTGAACCTCCCAGTTCTGTGGTTCAAGTACATCAGATACGGCGCCGAATCTAAAGCTGGCGGAGAATCGTGATGAGATGCTAACGCCGCCTGTGGCGGCGGCATCCTTCTTGCCGCCGCCAACTTCCATGGTTTGCAAACGCACTCAAAGCTCACCTCATCTCCCATCACATCCAAACGCGACAAAATACAGCACAACAGCTCCTCGTTTAGATCGCCCCAGCCTGCCCTTTCCTCTTCTTCGTCTTCCTTCCTGCTGCCGGCGGGCAATGCTTTTTTGCCTATCAATCCTAAATTCCTCATGGAACCTTAACCAAAAATATATACTTCGTATTTGTATATGATGGGATTGCTGGGATGATGGCCTGCTGAAACGCAAGAATAATATGCCTAGCGGTGTAAAGGACGGATTTTATCTTCAGAGTGATATAGAAGACCGGGTTGGATAACAGAAAAATTATCTCTTTATTAATGAATGAATGGGTTTTTTATAAATAAACCAGCAACAAAACCGGTTGGATTAGGAATCTATATCCTGCTCGTGTACAACTAAAAAATACTCCGTAGGACAATAGAAATATTTAGGAAATTAGGAATGTATGAATAATACTCCAAATATTGGAGATTTTCTTAAATATGACTAAATAAAAAGATAATTGCAATAGGATAATGGATTAAGAAGTCGTCTTCTTCACATAATCTGAATGCTTTTATTATGAATTTTTAAAGTTCTGATTTGATCTTGTTTGATCTAAATCTTTTTGATCTGATTTGAATTTTTCTGATCTGATCTGAATCTTTCTGATCAGCTCTGATTTTAATATTTCTTTTATTATTACTAATTATTATTATTATTATTATTATTATTATTATCATCATCATCATCATCATCATCATAAATAAAATTACATAATTTTAAATAATTTTAATCATAAATAAAATCATACGATAGTATTAATTATATTGATCTCATTTAGGAGTAATACCCGATAATAAATTTGAAAGTTACATTTAAGTAAAGAGATATTACCCGAAATAGGACTAAAAAAGTTTGCAAATTCCAAAATAGGATTTCCATGTTTTTATTCCAAAATAGGACTAATTATTGTCATGTTTTGGCAGTACCAGACTTCAAACATGACAGTATTTTCCAAATTTGGCAGTAATTGGTCCTATTTTGGGAATAAAAATATGACAGTCCTATTTTGGAATTTTCCCTTAAATAAAGCGACTGCATGTGTCACTTCTACGACAATCCCTTTTTGTTTCAGCTCACTTTCATAATCCTATTGCAAATATAGAATCGTAATTTAGAAACTTATATGGGGTCTATAAAGTTGATATTGAAATTGAATAAAAAATTGTCGTTTTGAAATCCAGACGTTTTAAAAGTATCTTTAAAAGTATCTTTTTTTATTGCTCGCTCTTATTTTATTGAATCAAATCATGTCATAAAAATTTGAATGTTTCAAACTTTAAAGCGGATCAGACTAAAACATTTAAGCTAGATCAAAGTTTTAGGAAAAAAATTGATTTTCACAGAAGCAAAAAAATCAACTGTATCACACATATTTTAAATTTGTCTGTCATACATACAAATTTTCTTTTGTGTGTAATTATATTTGTTAAGGTGGGATTGCCGATAAGTAATCCGTATTATCTACTCCGTAGTAATAATGGAAATACGTTGGACACTTGGAGTACTACTCGTACTAGGTAGTGGTCGGAGTGGTGATCCGTATATATAATAAGAATAAGTACTGGGTAAAACGAAGTATTTTGTTGAGATTTTATCTTCCTGAATAGGTCAATGGAAACAGTTTTGGATTTGTTGAATTGGTTACTCGGGAAGTTGAAACAAAAGATTAAGGGTATTAGTCACGATGCGGCCAGGGAAATCGTAGACGAGCAGTATTATACTCCTCCGACTACTCCCCGGCGGCGGCGGCGGCGGAAAGAATTGCATCGTCATGAACAACACCCCAGGCTATTACTTCGAGAACACGATGATTCAAGGAAAGGCGTGCTGTACAGCATCTCGGAAAGCCGTTCCTACAAGACCGATCTATCAGCATTCGTGGAACACAAATACCTCATCGACACCAACGGCGGCGGGGGAGGATGGTTGCTGGTGCACGATTTGAAGAACAGCAAACACGTCTTCCTTCTCAACGTCTATTCGCTCCATAAGGTTCAACTCCCCAAATTCGATTCATTCATTGATTTCGCCTGCCTTTCATTATCATCACCATCATCCACTTCTACTCCCGGCGACGGCTTTGTTGCGGTGTATAACAGAGAGTTGTCCACTGTCGGGATTTGCGGTGTGGGTGACAACAACAGGTTCGTGGAAGGAAGGTTAGCCCATTCGGGAGCGGGGCCAATCTCGTCGTTGGTGAGCATAGGCGGAAATCTGTATGGCCTAAGGGCTTCCAGTTTGGTAAGAATTGTGGTTGAGGAGGGAATTGCGAGACTTGAACTTGAAAGTAAAATTCCTCATCCCCTCCGCTTAACGTGCGGACGAACGGGTTATACACGCTGCCAAGGCTTTCTGGCAGCAGAGAATTGCGGCGGCGGCACCAGGGTCATTGTGGTGGTCAAAGTTCGTCGTGGGCACGGCAGAGGAGGCTGGGGCTCTCCACATCCCGTGGAGTGTATCCGGGCCTTTACATTTGATTTCTGCACCAGAAAATGGGCAGAACTGAATAGCCTTGATGGGCGTACCCTTCTCTTGGGCTGCCTTTCCTCCCTCCACATATGCTCTGATGTCCCCAATCTACGAAGAAACTGCATTTATTTTGTTGAACACGGAGAAAAGGATCTCTACGTCTTTGATATGGAAGATAAACTCATCACTCCC